TTATTTATTTATTTATTTATTTTTATTTATGACATATTTGTTTATTTTATTCATAACGAATTTGGAAAACTAATTTCTTCGTATTGATATTATCGTTTTATAAACGAAACAATATAAAATTATACAATTATTAATTAAAATATAAACTATATAATATATAATAAAAAAGGATGGTATATTAATTAGATAATATATATCAATTATATTGTAATTAATAATCAAATAGTTCCTCACATAACGCAATTCTCCAAATGACGTCCTGAAGACGACCATAAAATATCTTAAGATATATTTTCTATGCTTTTAACTTAAATTCCACATAAAAATACTACTATACGGATGGCGATAAATTAATATCTATCACTTTTATAGCGATGAATAGATTCTCCATTTGACAGGTTACGTGTGATCCGCAAATTCTCACGCATTTTCGCCTCGCAATAATTCGCGATAGTACTCTATCATCAGAAACAGTTCTCGCGATAGAAGCGTGGCGTTTGCGCTTTTCAGTTTCAGCTGGAGCCGTTATTTACTGCTCGCCGAGATCAAGCGCGATGCAGTCATGAGAGAACGGGTGAAAGGAGCGCTCTCGTGATTCTGCGATGCTGCGCGCCGCTACTCTGATTCCCCCGATTGCGATTCTGAGTCTCCAGGAAAAAGACTGCCGGATTAAAAGATCCCTCCTGCAAGACAGCCTCCGACGAAAGTATTTCGCGTATTTAGGAAAAGGAAAGCAGCGAAAGTGCGGTCGAGCGAGTTTTTCGCATGAAAAATGCATAAGCCGTAAAATGAATAATTATAAGAGTTCAAAAAATTAAAATACGCAAATTGCCAATGGACGATTAAGAATTAAGAACGAGAAATTTCACGAGTTCGATAATGAAAATTAACGATAAATTTGGCTGATCTCAAGCAGCCTTCTAAACGTAATCTTATAATTCAAAACTCAAGAAATTCAGATTGCACGATTAGAAAGGATGAACGATATTCTCTCTCATCGGTTTTACTAAAGATTGTCTTCACATTGCCATAGTTAGAAGAAAGTAAACCCGAGACACCCTATATAGCAATCGATGTAAAGGCACGCACTATAACGGCATACGACGCGCTCATAAGAATAGATTTTTAAAAATGATACATTACACGGTAAAAATTTTTCTCAGAATTTTTCGTATAATTTTATAACTTTCTAACATTTTTTATACGAATTGAAACATTTATCAGAAAATCTACATTTTTCCTCAGAATTTTTTATATATATTAACATATTACATTTTGTGATTTTCTCTTAACTTGACGATTTCCTTGAAATTTTATAACTCTTAACAATAATAATGATATAATATATCGTCGTTGCGCAGCTTTTTTCACCGTGTAAAATCTACGCAACGACACTAATGAAACCGTTACTGTCGTTAAGAGTTACAGGATGGAAGCATAAAGATGCATCTTTAATGTCATTTTGACGTCAAAATGACGGCAAATAACTAGGTAATAAAGAGTTACAAAATACAGGAACCTTAATGTCATTTTGACATTAAATAACGACAAATTTTTCCCATACAACAAACTAACGCTATTTGTTGTCATTTTGACATCAAAATGATGACAAATAGCGTCAATTTGTAATCTGGAAAAAAGTGCGTGCCATATTGCGCTTTTCAAGCCGCCTGTGTCAATCCGATTTAATATCGCAGATCTTGGGTGTGCCTGCTCTCCGGAGGCACCTCTTACTATTGTTTCGGGTTGTTAAAACGATTACCGGCAAGGCGGTGCTTGTGCGTTACGTAATGATCTCGTCGAGCGTGCGCGCGAGTGCGCACTTTCCTCGACGCGATTGTGTTAGCGTAGCTGTTACGTTAGTCTCACACAGGATGTTTTCCGAACGAGCTCATGCCTCACAATGCTCATGCTCGAGCAGATAGCGATCGGGCAAGAAGGAAATTTTTTAACTTACGACACTCGATTGCCTCAGGCAGTCGCGAAATTGCTCTGATCTTTCATTCTTATCACTCGCCGGCATTCAATAGCGATGAATTGAAATTCGATGGACAATGTCAATGTTTTACGTAAACGATAGTTTTGTTCACAGAGAAATCAAAGAAATAAAAATATCCGATGATATTAAAATATAAAGAATCAAGAAATATTCAACAATTGTTAAAATTTCTTATTGAAGAAATGAAGATTCAATTTTAATTAACATTTCATTTCATTTTAAATTAAATTGTAATTTAATTTAATTTAACTTATTAGGATTTAATTAATTTAAATTTAATTAGAATCTCCATTGTTAATTAGATGAAACGAACATTTGATAAAAAGAGAAATTTATTAAAATAACAATCGAATAAATATCATTAAATCCGTTTGTCGATATTACTGTCTATTGAAACCATCTCTTCCGTAGAGAAACGGAGATGTAACTCCGAGGTCGATCTGTTGCGTAGGAGAATTGATAATTAGCAATCCCTGTAAGAGATGAGCACACAAAGATAATCAACAAGATGTTATTTCTAATGAAGCAAAATCCGCCGACATTTTTACATAATCGTTAATTGTTAAGGGAGAAGGGAGAATAACGGTGCTTTGCAAAATAACACGGTAATGTGTCATATTTACGCGATTGATGTAACACGCAATTTTTATCCCGTTCCAGGAGATGGTTATAAGAGGCTGATTGCATGTTCAACTGCAATAATTACGTAATTATCTAAGAATTATAGCTCGATTCTCTCATAATCGTAGAAAATATTAAATAATAAATATAACTCACAAATTTTTCTGTTGCACAATAAAATAGAGTAAGATACAGTTATAAATATTTATAACTGTATCTTCGCCGTATTTTACAACAATATTTTTCTATATTCTCATACTTTTTTATTTTGGCGAATTCCCAGACAACACATTTGTCCAAGAATGAAACATAAGGCGTTTAAAAAATGCCTAAAAGGCATCTTAAAACATTTTTTTAAAAGACATTTTTAAGATGTTTTATGTCGATTTTAGACTTTTTGTTGTTTGGGTGGTGACGTGATATATTTTCATTGTATATATGATATAAAAAAATGTTGCTATTGTGATGTTGTTATTATGTATATTAACCACTGGACTGTCGCACGCAAAATGATTAACATAACGATAAAATTTTTTTGTTTCATATTTTCGTTGTGTTATTTCCTCTTTCAGATTCCGCGAGATTCGTGTGTCCGCTTAGGATGAGATCAGACTGAGCGCAATGACATCGAGATACTTCGTGTTTGTCGCAGCTCTAGCGTATGGTGAGTGCATTGATGTCATCTCCGAATTTTACAGAATTTTGAGTAAGATGCTTCCTGTTTCAAGGTTCACCAACTTTTTCTTAAATCTTCGATTCACTGCATCGCAAGCAAAAAATTATTGATCAAAAAGTATAACGTTTCTTTTCTTATCAATTTTTATTAATTTCCTTCAGCCTCGTATACATAAAATATAATTACATAATATTATATTATATATTCTATGAAAAGAAATTTTTATAATAAATTGTTAAGTGAATTACGACATAGAACTGATTTTTATGAGCTCGTGACTTTAGTTGCAGTGTCCGCCGCACAAGTTTATAACAGCCACTCAGAGGATGCAGTTGCAGCGATCGAGCCAGCAGCTGCAAATAATGATTTCATCACACAAACTGTCTATGGCTTCCTGGACTTCACCACGACAATCGGCAATACGGTGATGGTCTTCAGTCCTCAAAGCGCTCCTCCAGGTAACATTTGCAAAGTTTCATTCACTCGGATGATTACGTCAGAACTGCAAAAATTGAAATACGTTCAATTATTGCAATAATAATTAATAAAATTATAAAAACGATAAAATTACAAAAAAATTATTTAAAATTATTAAAAATACACTATATACATTTATAGACATTTACATCGTCATTATAATATTTTTGTGATATCTTTTACTATAAGGGTAAGTCATATCTATTTTGTAAAACTGTTAATAAAATCGTAATATCAAAAATGAATATAGTTTATGTTCGTGATAGTAAAAGTTGCTAAGATTAGCTCGTATTTTTCAATTTTTCTTTGTTTATTTTATTCTATTATCTTATTTTACTATTTTGTTCTATTATTTTTATGTTATATTATTACTCTTGCTTAATTTTTGTTTATTTTTCTATCCTGCACATACCTCCTCATCTGAACTCTGTATTTACACTCACTTTTGCTTATAATTATAACTGTAAGGTATCTGTAGCGCTTGAGGGAATAACATTCCAGAGCGCATAATCAATAACAATTTATCTATTTATCTTGACTATTAATCAGCCACGCGAAAAAGTTTACACGAAAAAGAATTTCATCGAGAAGTTCTGAAGAGAGAATTTTCTGAGAGACAAATGTCGAGAGCTGTCGTAATGTCGGTCAAGCAGAAAATTCGCAATTTGTAACCATGAAGTGTCAGTGATTTTGAATTGTGGATATAATGCCAGAAAGTACTTTCTAACAAGTGTAATCAACACCTTTTATTATGCCGCGCTTGTTCATGGACTCTGATCCTTTGATTATAATAAGGATGAATCCTTGAAACGTTGAAGAGTATTATAGTACTGTATATGTACACAAGATGGGCCTTGACGAGGGGTACCAATCTCTTTAGCATATCGCTGTCCGGGTTTGCGTACAAATCATGCTCATTGTTCACTTGCCATGACTCTCTTCTCCTTGACTTTTCAAATCGTCCACTCAACACAAAGCTATTTGCTTCTTTTTTATAAATAAAAATTTTACAGAAAATAATTGTAACAAAATAAAACTGTAAATAAGAATTGAAATTTGATATCAAAAATTTACAGCGTAATTATAAATAAAATAAAATAATATAATATATATATTTAGCTTTAAAAGAATTATAAGAATGTAATTTAAACGTGATGTGGAATTACAATAAGAAATAATATGAGTAATGCGCACAATAAAATTGAAAATTGAGAAAAATATTTTTACATATTTTGAATCCTTTCTCTCCAAAGGATAAGGAATTTGACCGAGACCTTCGGTGCGGGTGTCGGACGTCAGGACATGCTTTTTTAGTCTCGTTTTTGCGATCATTCGACCTCGCAGAAGTGCGATTTTTATTCTTGTCAGGTATGCAAATGTGTCGTTCATTTTCAGAAGGAGGCGTCGTGAAGAAGATCACGTCCCCCACGCCAGCGATTCACACAAAGCCAACGACGGAGCAGCAGCCGAAGAAAAATATCCCCGACATCCAGCCCAGCAAGACGCACAAGGCCGAAGATCAGGGCGGTGAAACGAAGAAGCAGATAAAGGGCACAAAGGTCGTCGTGAATTCCGTGGTCGAGCAGAACGTGGTGAATCCCTCCGAGAATACCGTACCGAAACCGACGAAGAATCAGGTGAGAACGGAATGACGTTGTACAGGATATCCTATCATTATATATATATATTATATAAACGTCTAATTCTTTTTTAAGGTCGACTTTTTTTTATAAATGTCTTTTTATTAGTCTTTTAATACATGAGATATTCTCCGTACAATAATTTTAATACATTTATACAGTATATAATAATTTATAGATTTTTAAAATTATTATATATTCAAATTATATACATTGCGATTTAATTTTGTAGCAATTAGATTACTATAATCTAATTGCTATAAAATTATAATAAATTAAGTAAATTATAAGATGTTATGTATTAAAAAGTCGGTCTAATTATTTACCATGATTCGCACAGGAGTCAAATAAACAGACGAAAACACCCACACTGTCATCGGTGGTTCAGGTACGTGCTAAGGATGAAACTCCAGGCGTGAAGAACAATCTCGCTGAACCTGAATATGATTTTCTCTCAAAGCAGCCGACGGAAGTGATCGACGAGACATACAAGGTATGTAAATGTAGATCACGAAAATAAAGCAAATGCCATGTAAATGCATAAATTATTAGTTTTCTTGTTCTTGAACCTCGTTCAGAATATGTACTTTTATACATTTAATTGTATATTATGTTTTAGAGTTATTGTACATAACAATTACATTTTAGAATTTTTTAAATAATTTCCTGGCCTCCTTTTAATATTTTCTAACTGGATCAAATGAATAACGGATCTGCTTTCTCTGCTAGTGAAATAAGTGGAGAAAATGACATATTTAAACGTGTCATACTTTAAAATATGCAATATATATTAAAATAATATTTTCCAAAATATAATATTTTTATCTTTAAATTATCAGTTTATATTTTTACATTTTATTTTTAACGATATATAGAGTGATATTTTAGGATTATATTGGATTAGTCATACTTTTATAAATTAATTAGAGCTACTCCTCGAAATTTGTCCTTGTTGACTTTTTGATATCAGCGTGAAGTTGGTCTCCCTAATTTAAAAAAAAATTAACTTTCTACAGCTCATTCGATTGCATATGTATGGACATTTCGAAAAATGATCGAAACGAAAATCTATCGATTGAGACTAGTTAAATTTAGTTTGCTCGTGGTTGGAGAATTGAATGTGATATTAGTCCCCTTAAAAATTTTTAATAACTTTATTATCAGAAGTGTACAAACCAAAATACGAAATGTGTATACAAATTGTGTATACATGTGCAAAGAATAAAGCAATCGAATAAGCTATAGAAAGTTAATTCTTTCAAAAGGTGGGGAACCAACTTTACAAGGATTAAACTGATAGCTTACTTTTAAAATAAATTGCGAAGACAATTCTTACATTTTTATAACTTTATCCATTTTATAACTTCATCTTATATTACGTGAAGAGAAAATATCTAAAATATAATCCATTTCGTTAAAAATGTGGCATTAGCTCTTTCGGAATCTAGCCAATAATTTCGCGCTCACGAAATCCGCGATTAATTCTCCACGCTCGCAAAGACAGGAAATCAGATATCCTGTTTAAAGTGACATTGATCTTCGGCGCGTGAATAGGAACCGCAAGAAATGAAAACTAAGAATCTGATTTCATATCCCTAATTACTGCTAAACTGGCTCGCTAGAACTGGATTCAATGTCGCTAAAACGAATTCCGCGATTGCATTCTAGTCCAAATATCCGATGAAAAATGGGTTATCTAGCTACCGGGATGAAAAGGTCGTACTGAAAACGATTCTCAGCTTTACCATAAAATTGCGCAATGGGGCATCCTGCAAGCAACTTTCTCGATAACTCGCGCGCGAAGCTGCCGCGGAATTATTCGAAATAATCGCATCGGTGTAATTTTCCGCATGCCGTAATCGATTTCCTAGCCGATCCTTTCTAGCTGCTCTCCTCCCTCCATTCGTTCCTCAGCTCTGACGATCGGCGTGAAAGTCCGATCTTACGGATACATAAATCGGTTTCACCCGCGAAGCGCGACGAACACGCTTTTCCAACAATATTTTCCAGCATTACTACATCTCAAATATTTTATTGCATTTAAATTGAGTGTAGTATTATTTTATTATTATATTCTTTTATATGTATATATAAAATTATTATTTAAATATTTTGTTATGAGTTTTATTACTCGTACTCTTTTCTCTCTCGACCCTTCTATTGTATGTTCCACTAAAAACTAATTTCATATCTTGTCTATCTTTTTTATTACATACAGAAATATATATATATATTATTGACTAATTGATGTTATTTTATCCATACAATTATTATTACAATCTATTCGATAATAAATATATAATTTTAAGTCCACTTCTTAAGTGTTATGTAAAATTAAAAAATTTGTACTTTAGGATTTTTATTATATTATAAAGGATGTTTAAAACAAATTTTAGTGAACATTAAAAGCTTAACCATTTTTGAGAAATAAACACTTTTAACTTATTGGCTTTTTTGTATCGCATGAAATGTTTAATTCCGTGTTAATTATAAATTGCATTTGATTCACATTCAATTTCCATACATAACAGAAGATTTTATCGTCAATCAATTATAATGTATAATCCTTAAATAATATGTAGATCCGCAATCGCCAGTTAATGGTTACTGATATGAAATATGTATGAGGATTGAATGAGGATATTCAGAATGCGATTTATAAACACTGAGGTAAACATTGCATGCAACACATAGGCGCCAGTAAATTACAAAAATGTTTATATCTCAGAAACGGTTGAGTTTTTGATGCTCATTACAATTTTTTTAAAACATCCTATATAACATAATAATTAAAAAAAATTTTATAATAATTTTAATCCTAAAGTACAAATTTTTTAATTTTAAATAACAACTTAAGAGATGGACTTAAATATATATTCATTATGCTAACACATACAAAAATGTATATCCTAAAACGGTTGAGCTTTTGACTTATGTTTATTAAGATTTTTTTATTTTACTTACAGTATAGTGTGTACCATCTATCAAATAAATGCTGAATGGTTCTTTTTAAGACACCCTACAATTGTTTACTTACATAATTAATGTCATTTATCTTTAATAACATCTTTTAATTATAATTCTAATTTTTTATAGTTGATCAACCTGCGACCATCGTCGAAAGTTCATCACAAACCGCGTGCCACCCCGCGAAGGGACAAAGAGAATCCAACTGGCCTCGTAACCAAGTTGGGCGGAACCATCGTAAAGGATGGACTCACCACTGTGCATGAGACCAGCGTGATCGGGACTTATATCAATGGAAAATACGCCCAGGTATTGCAGAGCTCATCAAGAATCCTAACAGCACCGGTTGCACCAGTAGCTGACGGTAAGATTCGGCCGTCCAGCACCAATCGCATCCTGAAAACTATTGGTCCTCAGCATGGCAAGCTCAAGCCGCAGCTGGAGCCCACTCCAACCCATCAGCAACAGGACGAATCTTCGCTGCCCTTGGAGGCTCTCTTTAACGAACCTTCTGGTACGTATTTCATGATAATTTTTATAAATTTTATGTTGCGTTTAAATTCTTTTTTTTGTAAAATCTAATAGTAAATTTGTTAAATTAAATAATATAATAATTTTTTTTATAAAAATATATTAATGTTTTATATATGAGAAATATAAAGTTATCATAACATTTTTTCTCATGATATACAGAAATTTTTTAATCTTTAAAAACAAAAGATTTTTTTTATAATTTTTAACTTTTTACCAGTTCCAAAAATTTTAGTTTATTTCACTTTTAAAATAATACAATTTGTAATGTGTGATAATAATTGCAAGCTAAAAAGTATTAATTAATGACTTCAATTGTCGCATTGGACGATACTAAATCAGTGCAGTAAATAGAAATCAATATAGAACTAAAACTCTCTACTCTATATTAATTTTCTTATACCCAATAAAATTTATAACAGGCATAAAATTTTTCTAATAATCCTTAAGAAATAGATAAATTAATTTTTATTCCATTAGACACTCCAATACGATCGACACGGAAGCCTTCGACTCCCAATAATTTAACCAAGCCCAAATTCCGTAACAAGATTGCCGATGAATACGATAACAACGAACCACAGCAAACGAGGATCGGAAAGAATCGCTCCAGCACGTCTCGACCAAATTATAAGTGAGTGTTAACGGAATAGCACAATTCAAAAAGCAAATTGATAAATTATTTATCGTGCTGTCTTTTTCTTATAAGTTAAAAAACATAATACAATTTGACGCGAAGCTGTTCTTTTTTATAATCATCTCTCTTCTTAGAAATCGTCCCGCAACTACCACTACTGAAGCGCCCATCACTCGCCGTCGCAGCGGTTTTCGGCCGAACAGTCAATCCCCTAATACACCCTCGAAACAGTTGACGAAGTCGAAGAACAGCGATCAGCAGCCGTCAACGACGATCAGTCTACTGCCCAAGGTGAAGCTACCGAGGACGCAAGGTCGCTGGTCGTATAAGACCACGCCGAAACCGAGAATCATGATTCGTAAGCAAGTGGATGAAGAAGATTCGCGAACGTCAACTGAGTCGAGTACAACAGAGTTGGTTCCCGGGGCAATCTTTGATGAGCAAGGCAAGACATCAGCAACGACGGCAACAATCAATGTTGCTCCGATCTCATCTAGCGGCACCAATGTTGCGCAAAGGAAAGAACTGTCCTTGACGGAGGACGAGTTAGATCCCAGTGAAAGCGAAGACGTGGCTAGTGTCAGCATACAACAGGATCAGCAGCATCCTGGAGAACAGATTCTACCAGTAGAAACGCTCAACGTGGAAATCTCTACTGCGGCGGATCTCGACAATGTATACTTCGAGATTGCCACTATCAAATCGCCTTACTCTTTCCAAGTAAGTTTTTTCAATTTTATTTTAATATCTATTTATTTATCTGCCAATTGAACTGAAAGAAATAGTATATTAAATATATCCAAGAATCTCATACAAAAATTAATTAAAATTATTAGCTTTTAATTTGTATCGCGTTTGCTACTTGATATTAATTCTGTAAACCACTGTAAATCATAATATATAATCACTAAATTATAAATCTGATAACTAAAGATGTTCTCCCTTCAGGTAGGAACACTCCGAAACACCCGCTACATCACGGTGACCTCCACCATCAAGAAAACGTTCGCGACGGCCGAACCGAGCAGCTCAATTTTACCTACCGAACCACTCACGGAGAACATCCTAGCGAACACTGGGGCTGCCTACGAGTCGACTTTGCCACTTGACTCGTCTATCGCGACGTTACCAGCGATCTCTCTAGACGCCGCCCAGGCGACACCGCCATTAGAAACGCTGACAGAGACGTTCTCAACGACTCAAACGTTGCTAAAGACGCATATGTTACCAATAATCTACGCCGGCAACAGCACCACTCGATTGACCTTAGTGCAAACGTATAACATCGCCCGAGTAGTGACGGCGACAAAGACACTGCCACCGATGGAAATCTATCAGTTTATTCCAAGTAAAACATTGAACGAGTTCAACTCAAAGCTCGACGAAGCTGGTAGCGAACTACATCTCGAGCTCGACTTTGGTGATGATGATCGCGACGACGAGGACGTTCCAAAGAGAGTGGTAGTGCCCAACAACGATTCCGATGCCGACCTGGACATTTTTAAGTCGGCATCGCCGTCCAAGATTAAGAGTGACGCCGCAACCAGCAGCAATGCAGAGCCTCAGTTGACCCCGGAACAGGCCCAACAATTAGCACTTCTGAAATACTTTGGCCAACCACAACTCCAAGTCATCACTACATCCAAACCAGTAATCACCTTGGAGACGCTATACGAATCGCATGTGATTCCTGTGGTGAACTCTGGGAATACCATCTACTCAACACTGACAAGGCCAGTCGGCACTGTACCAAAGTCAGTATCTCTTACTCCAAATACTTTTAATAAGCCAATTCTTTTTTTTTTACGTAATTGATATATGTAAATAAAATTGGACGTTATATGCATAAATTAAATAATATTTAAAGTATTTAATAAATTATGCATTTATCTATTGCAAATATTTTATATTATTCTATACATTACATTATATTTTATTGTATTTTCTATTTGCATTATATATAAAATATATAATATATAATATTGATCATATTTTTTATCATAATATATTTTTGTTGCATTTTTCTGCTTCAGAACGTCCTACGAGTATGGCACATCTACCTTAAGTCCGGTACTGCCACAGGTGCAGCAGGTGCCGCAACTGCCGCTGTTCCCACAGCAGCCACAATTCACGGTGACAAGTGCGCCCATAGTCACTCAGACTCTCGCTACCGTATCTGACTCGCGAGTGCTGAAACTTACCTTCGGCGCCAAAACCGCCTACACCACTCTCTTCTCTACAAGGGTCGTGCCTACCGAACTCACTACCTATATCACCAACACGGTACCGGTGCAGCCAACGGTACCAGCGTACCCCGGTTATTATCCGGCGCCGGTGCCCTATCCACCCTTTCCCTTCGTCGGTTAGATTTCGATCCGTCCTTTGACTCTTTCGAGCTCTTAGCGGTCCATTTCGATTGCATTCAATCGTCAGATAGATTTGCTCTCTTCCGAGTTGGATATTAACTTTAATTAACTTTATAATATGTAAAAGGAGAGAGAACTCCAGGAGAGAGAACATCCTAATCCAGGGTACGATTGGATACGGTCCTAATTCAGACAGAAGTTATACTAATATTATAAGAACGTCATCATGACCTTATTTGTCGCTTATAAGTTCATTCATAGGAAATAAATGAAGTCATGATAACGCCTTATAAAATGTTATTATGACTCTCTACTTTGGAAACAATTTTATTTATTTAATGACTTTTTCATGGATTTTTCCTGATAATCCTTTCGATAAAAGTACGATATATCCTGCACGTTCATTCGCATTAATTGCGAAAATTTGACATTTCATAAATAGTGATCATATATTTGTGACTTATGATAGATTAATATTATTAAGGATTGTTTTGTCCATTTTTTTATACGTATGTTTTAAAGCGATCTCATCATTTCATTTCATCTAAATTCTCTTTATTTACAAATGGCATGCAAGAAAAATCAACGTGTCGCTATAACACATTTCTCACTTATGACGTCACGATTCAAATGGCTGGAGTGAGTACTCAGGAGACTTAAATTTAAAAAATCACTTTTTAAAAATAAATATTAGTAAATTTATTCATGTCAGATTATCGAGAATGAGAATCAATGTCAGCGCTGCAAATCTACGCTGTTTTTTAATATAGTAACAGTTCTCTAATTTCACGTAATTGCATTTTTATAATAAATGGGTCAATGCACGTTATTGCTAACAGAGTATACAAGAACAATTTCCAAGTAAAGAAAAAATTATAAGTAGCTTCGAAATATTTGATAACAAAACGCGTTGGCGATGATTGCAATCGAACGGCATTATTGTAAATAAATTATTGATTATAATATATTATATGTCGTATATTGTGTATGTATACAGCGTATTTTTGTAAATAAATAAAACAAAAACATGAATTACGTGAAAACATACGAAGTAATTTGCTAATAAAATATAGGTAAGTTTAAAATGTAATAAAATGGACAGTATAATAATTTTATGAAATCGAATATAATTAATAATATTAATATGATAAATTAAAATAACAAGAAGTTTGAAATGATAATAATCATAATTTTTTCATCATTATAACATTATTGTTAAATATTACTTATTAAGCGCTTTAAGAATGATGAATTAATCTGCTCACTAATCATATATATGACGCAATATATATGACTTTTTTTGTAATTATCTCTGTTAGTAACATGGACGTATCCAGGAGAATGATTTTGAGGGTTTAAACTCCCTTTCCCCCTCGAAATTTTTTATTAATTATTTCATTTTGAGAGCGTCCCGTTAGTACACATCCTGATAGCACACATCCATTTACATCGATTGGTATTTAATAATTTTTCACTGTTTTACTAATAAGAATATTTTATTTTGAACTGGCGACATACAGCCAGTCACATAAAAGTTGCAACACTTTTTTTTCGATGGGTTTCGGAACTTAGCCTTGTTCATAAAACAGTTAAATGTAAATGATTAGATATTGTATATAAATAAGAACCAATTGCTCGGTGAGCAAGCTGTATTCCGAAACCCATAAAAAAAAAAGTATTGTAACTTTTCTGTGACTGGCTGTACATGCTCTATCGCATTCCTTTTTTTCATTTTTAAATATAATAAACACTTTTTATAAACAGAATTTTAGGAGCTCCATGGGCTCTCCGTTGTCGCCCATTGCTGATCTGTTGATGCAAAGAGTGGAGAGAATGGCTTTGACGTTGTTCAATGACCAAGTATTATTTTACTATGTCGACGATTTATGTGTCGCTGTTCTTTCATTAAAAATTGACTATATACTTGAATGTTTTAACGCATTCCATCTTCAACTCCTATTTACTCTCGAAATTGGAGATGAATCATTAAACCTTTAAACGTAAATATTATGGTTAAAGATAAACAAATTAATTTTGATTAGTATCACAAACCTAGTTTTTTAGGAGATTCTTAAACTTCTTCTCTAACCATCCGATCTCTCAAAAAGAGGCATAATCATCAGTTTGACTGACAGAGCACTCTTATTGTCAAATTGTGAATATCATGCAAAAAATTGGATACTTATAATTAATATACTAATAGAGAATTACTATCCGCTAAAATTTATTTTTGACACAATCAATAGCAAAATCAATAACCTCCTAAGAAAAACAGCGACTAGATCGATCCAAAAATGATGGAAATTCAAACGTTGTTCCATCGTGATTCATTGTGTCGTACATTCAAACTTTAACAGAGAAATTTAAACAATTTAACAAGAATGATGTCAAGGTTTCATTTTAGCGCAAATAAAATTACAAAAATATATAAAAGTCCGAAAAGACTCTCGCTACCATGTAGTTTATAAAATAAAGTGCAACAATTGTGATGTGCATCATATATGGCACAGACGGGCAAATGGTTAAAATCAAGAATTGCAGTACACCGTAACCGTATTAAATGGAACACGTCTATAATAATCAAACAAAAATTCCAGCATGAACTACATGCACTACTTTGATTAGAACAATATAGAAATTCTAGATGAAGAATCAGTTTATAATAAATGTTTAATTTCATAGACTTGTTGAACATTAAAAAACAAAAAAATAGTTTTAATCCTCAAACTGACACAGAAGGCCTTCACAAATCATACATACTCGTCATAAACAAAATTTGGCTTTGCTGCACCTCGATTACCATCAATTATTTTTATCTCAATCAGTGTTCATCTTTCGTTCTAATTATACAATTTTAATTTTAACTTCTTGACCAAGATTTATATTTGACATTATTCTGATATAATTTACTTTCTGACAACTCTGTTTTAACGATATATTTATACATAATCACACTGACAAAAAAATAATGGACGATCTTATGAAGCATCTTAACATTATGCGATATATAACGATAAGACTTTTATGGTGAATCTTTTATCAAAGTGACGATTTGTTTACTTTATTGACATATTCTAATCAATTTTTTTTAATTTAATTATTTAGAACATCAAGAAATTTTCAACAATCGGTTAATTCAACCATTTGCGAACAATTACTCTCGATGAAACATTCATCTAATCACATCTAATGGTTGTATATCACTATCCGTTTATATCAATGCGTTTCTAACTATACTATTGCGTTTAATCAACTATCTGAAAATTGCTCAATCAGGAAGCCGAAACATGTAATATTATTGTAATTTTATTATATATTATATATAATTTTCATTTATATTTGAATTTTAGGACTTAACATATTTATGTAATAATTCGTTATATTATACAATTTTAAGATTGACTTTTACATGCCCTCGTGACATTGTTTTGTCATTAAGAGTCCATTATATTGATAAAATTTAAAAATTAATATTACATTTACTTAACATTTAATAAAAAATATCTTAAATTTAAAAAATCAATTTTTTAAAATAAATATTAATAAATTTATTGATATAGGATTATCAAAAATAAAAATACCAGCACTGCAAATCTACATTGTACTTTAATATAGTAGTTTTCTAATCTACAGTTCACGTAATTGCAATTCTGTAATAAATGAGTCAACTCACATTACTGCTAACAGAACAAACAGAGACGCAATTTCTATGTTAAGAAGAAAATTATAAACGTACATCATCGAAATATTTGATAACAAAACATTGGCAATGATAGTAATCAAACGACAATATCGTAAATAAATTACAGAATATATGTTATATCGCATATTGTGTATGTGTACGGTGCATTTTTTGTACAATAAATAAATTAAACAAAAACGTAAATTATCGCGTTGCAACAAATCCTATTAAAGAAAAAAAATTGGAAAACATACTACGTAATTTACTAATCAAATATAAGTGTAAAATGTAATAAAATAAATAATATAATAAATTTAAAAAACCGAAAATATTGATATAATAAATTAAAATAAGAAGTTTGAAAGAGTAATATTCACAATTTTAACTTTAACTTTGTACCATTATTGTATAAATATCACTTATTAAGCGCTTTAAGGATGACAGGATTATTCTTCTCACTTATAACCTGAAGTAATGCAAAGTATTTTTGTAATAGTTTACGTCAGTAATATAATGATTTGTAGCACTATCGTGCTGCGAATCGTCAATTATAAATTCCTTCATAGAGAACTCAGGATGCTTAAGATTCTTTGCATCTACAATAATTCATTTTTAATGTCTTAGCAATTTTAATTTAACGTAACAAAAAAGAAATGGAAGGCAAGAATGATATCATAATACAAGAAGAAATATTGATACACAATGACAAAAATTCAATCAGAATAGTTATCTGCTTACTGACTGCAACTTCCTTCGGTGTTCCTATCACATGTATGCTCAATTTTCTGAAATTACTTCCGTTCAGTGTGTGTCTTCCGAAAAATTCTCTCAGCTTATTGATATTTATATTCTCTATTGCAAGCGCTTCCTTTTCACATCTGTCAAATATGTATTGCTGCTTTATGATCTCACTCCAGTTTCTGTCAACTTGGTTTTTCAAAATATCGGTATCATCATATTGCTTTAAAATTCTCAGCCCTTCTTTGACATCATCTAATTCCGTTTCTGAGAACTGTTCCAACACGACTCGAAACGAATTCAGAAATTCCTCGATCCATTGATCAACGTATTCGGTTGTACATTTATCTGCCTGAGTGTAAACAGTAATAGAATATCCTAATATACCGTTGATATCTCTAAAATCGCACGAAACATAACTAAGCTTCTCTTGGGTTCGTAAATAACTCATTAACGATTCTTTCATTATCATCTAAAAGATGATTATTTAACAGATGAATGTTCAAATAAAATCAATCATGGTAATCGAAAATATTATTCATATTTTATTTACTACTAAAAATAAATTGAATAGACTAAAAATAAACTAAATATAAATTGAAGATGTATTTAAATGTATAAAATAATGTCATTAAATACTTACGATCAACAGCTCAATCAAAACCGATAATTCAATCGTACCAGTACCGACTTGATAATAATTTCTCACTACCGAGTTTACATCAGTTCGGTTAATATTTTTCAACTTGAAATAATATGTGCATTGGTGTATTTCAGAGATTGCAACAGGCTTCATTTTCTTCAATGCAAAACAATCAATTTTTTTGATAAATCGTTGTATAATATCGATCGTAAAGTCTTTCGTTATATTGCCTTGCACAAGGCATTGAATATACAGATTATTGGTGAAAGATTTTACAAAATTTCGGAAATCTCGTGAATAATTGCATCTTTGTAGAACATTATATTTGTGAACGTGTGTACAGTTGCCGCATTTCAGTAACCATAACTCCACATCCCTGCGAAAAAAATAAGCTATATATATTAATTAAACAAGATAAGAAATGTAATATATATAATTCAATTTATAAAATTAATTGTTAATTGATTGTAATAATTGATTGATCACTAATTATTTTTTTCCATTTGTATAAGAATTTTATAATTATTGCAATTAAGCTTGGTAATAAATAATTAATACTCGATGAAAGTTTCCGGCTCTATAAATTTGTTGTAATGTGTCTTCAGTTGTTGTATTTTTATAATATTAAATAAGTTCGTTGAAACGGTAACTAGATTCACCATATAGTTTGCAATAATCATCAACCAGGACTGCAACAGAAATAAAATATTTATGTTTCTTCAAATTTTATATATATATAAAACTCTGCCAACACACGCTTCAAACGTATACTTACTGACAGATTTTCGTTAAATCCGCTTATTTGTATTGTAATACCTGTATCTTCTTCATTGACATCGATCTCATAACCAATCCCAGCTGTTACAGCCGGATATAATTCTTCGAGCAATAAATATTTTATTACATTGCAGTACGTTTGTAAGAGAACTGCACTAAAATGTTATTAGTATAAATTAAGTTTAATAACAAATTAATTCATAAAAATCACAACACATAATAATTACAAGTTAAAGTTTATAATAGGTATATATAGGGTTTATAGTCGGCAAACATTGTAGTACTATTATAATATATAAATATTGATACATGTCCAAGCTATTATTTACTTCTTTGCTGTTCGAGGATACAGAGAAGAAACAATATGAAGATTTATATGGCACACCGGCCAATGAAACTTCGGACAAAACCAAATCTCCGACAAACAATCTTGGTGTATTTTTACAGGATATTTCGATGCTTCTGCTGATACCGGTATAAAAAAGAAATTATTGGTAAGAAATTCATTGCGTGATGGTAAATGAAAATTAGACAATGGCTCGATAAATTTCCAGCGTTCGATCCATTCCTTTGGTAACACCATATCTATATAATTAATTTTAAAATGCGGTTCAACTATATTTAATTCAAAATCATTGGTAAGAATCATAATATTCGCTGTTTCTGGCATCAAAAAATTCAAACATTTTTGTATAGCTTCTGGATCATACTCGAAATAAATATGCTTTCCAGTTACATAATCACGTGACGGATAGAAATGCATACTCTTACATAAATCGAACACATCATCGTGTTTAAAAAATCTAAAAAAAGCCTTTAAGTATAAGTGGCATATCTTATGTATTTTAATAATATTTCTCTTTTCTACATATATCTATTTATTTTTAAATTGATTTACCTAAAATTATTTTTTCCAATCTTATAAAGCTCATTATAAATACTTTCTTGTGGACCCGTCTTTTTTACGAAATTTATAAAGGAAAATAATGCATTTAGAACGTCTTGCTGATGTTGTTGTACTCCTTTATGAGTTAGTTCTACTATAATCTCGAATAAGACATACATAGAGTTGTATCCAAAATCATTATCGTTATCACAGTTACCACAAAACACATCAAGGCCCCACATTTTTTTACGTAGATAACTAGTTAAAGAACCATTTCCTTTATGTTCAATAATCCATGAAATATATTTGTATGGTTTACTTCGGTACGAATCAATTGCAGGCAAAGCCCATGTTACATGTAGCTGTAAAACACAAGTTTCATTTTTATATGCATTTGTTTAATTAACACAATTTTTCTTTTAATTTACGTGTCCAAGTTACATACTTGGCTAATATCTTGACTGAAAGATTTAACATAATATATTTTTTTGAAAGTGTCAGTATTAAATGAAATGCCATCTTTAAAATCGGTAAAATCATCGGAATGCAGCCAGTAATTTGGTATATCACTAAAGAAGTTTGCGACATATACTTCCAAAGTATCTAGCGATAATCTCGCCTATAAACGGATGTACGTATCATATTATCTATTAACCATGTTTAATAAGAAATCAATTGTTCACCTCAATTTTAACATATTATATTTACTTTTATAGCTAGCGTCATTCTGTGAGCGCTATAATGACGATTCCTGAAATTGTGCAGTTCTTCGTACAACTCATCATCATTGATATCATTGTTTAAAGCTATTGAATTACCTCGAAGAAACTCACTGAGTGGAAGACCAGTTTGAGCAATAAAAGACAATAATCGTTCCTTTCTATTTTTGTCACTAGATGAACTCCACTGAAACTCTATGTGAACATGGAACATTTAAAAATCGCAATTTTAGCAACAACATTACCATTAGTATTTATTTACCCCTTTGTATGGCCTCTCGCTCGCTCTTAATGACATCTTTCTTCATCAAGGGTTTAATGAAAAATTGAACAAAACGGTCGAGAGCTGGAAACAAGTGTTTCTCTGAAATATCAAAGTAAAATCTTGTATGCTCACAATCCGTTACGCCATCGATAGTGCCACCATGGTGACTGATAAATTCATTAAAACCGTTTTCCTGAAAATACAATAATATATTTTAACATTTAAATATACAAATAGTGTATTTTATAATAAATTTACTTATCGTATTTTAATACTTTTGGATATTTTTCGGATCCCATGAAAACCATGCGCTGAAGGAAATGTGCCAGGCCAGGAACTTTTGGTGGATCGCTAAAACTGCCTACTTTCACACATAAGCTACAAAATGCCTGAAATTAAAAAAAAAAATATATATATATATGTGTATGCATACATATCATGCGTTAAAATACAAAATTTTAAATTTATATTATATAATATATTAAGCACAAACAGTAGTAGGATAATTCGTGAACAGTTTACACGTTACTATCCGAATCAATGCAAGTTCATTTTTAGATATTTGAGAAATTCACGTTTCTCAAATGAGGACTTCTGTTATAACTGATAAACGTTCTGATCGTTCATTACACCAATAGCGCTATTCTGAACGCAGTTTTGAAAAGATAGATTATTTTTTGTAAGTCCATCTCCGATGTTATAATTGCAATAAATTTTTAGTTTACAAATAATGTGAAGAAACATATGCAGAAAGTAACTTAAAATGCTAACTAAATTGTCTTTTTCATACCTTCCGTACATCTCCATTAAGCCGTTTAACTGTAGGACTACTTTCTTCATAATCCTTATAACTCATGTCGTCATAATTTGCTTTTTCCAATACAGATATTAACAAAGCTGTTAAACCATTTTGTAGTTTAAAGACTCTAAATTTGAAAGACAAAACAAATAACAATAAGATGAAAAATTACTGAAAATTATATAAAGAAACTTAATCCTTCTTTGTAGAAGGTATATTGTGACGTATATTTCTCTTAAAAAATTATCATTTATAGGTATATACCACACACACACACACACACACACACACAAATTATCATCGCATTAAATAATAATATATCTCATGCATATTTCAATAGAAATTGTTTTTATTGTTGACTCGTCGCCTTAGTCTCACCTATAATCGGCCTTATGATACTCGCCCGATATGTCAGGCGAATTCAAATATTCAACAAAAAATTTATTGCCTTTGGTCTTACGCTCTTCTTCTGACATTATATCGACGTGCAAGAAACCAGAAATTTGTAGATACAATACGATCCTCTCGAAGAACTCGAAATGAGATTTTTATATGTTCCAAATTTCTTTCCAGTAGTGTGTACAGTTTTAATCAACACTCTAGCCGATACAACTTCATACTATCTGTCTTAAACGAAGATCAATACGAAGGTCAATATCAGTGTCTTGTATACATACCTAACGTATACATTGTAACAGAGTGAAAATAGAAATAGCAAGCAGAGTTATAGGTATCCAGTATCAGAAAAATCAAAAATGGATTTAGCAATGAGCACGCGATCCATTTCTATCTATTTCAAATCTCAAAACTTTAATTTCGACATATACTTTGATATGTTACTCAGAAGTTAATTAAAAATTAAATCTAAATTTCGAACTGTACTTTCTTCTACTCTAATATAATATCGCTTTCATGTTAAATATATAACACAAAATTTGATAAACGCACTGTGCTCATGAAAATTGGTATTTTTGGTGACAAAATTTCCATAAAAAATATATTTGCAGGAATTTCTTCAAAATGACGTATTATGTAACATATTATATTAAAAGTCCTAATCTCAAACTGGGAAAACTTTCCATTTTCATAAAACTGATAAAAAATGCGGTTTCACGAAAATATCTCACAGGATATATATTTTATCGAAATAAAAATCATTGTTAATAAGAAAATTGATGAAATTAGAAACAATCGTTTATTTCGTTTATTTTAAAATTGTACGATCGATACTTTTAATGCTAGAATTTTTTTAAGAATATTATACTTTTAAACATTTTGTCAATTGAAATTTTTTCCATACATATCTTAGATTTGGTTATTTTTACGTACAAAATAATCTTATGAAAGATTATTAAATTTTTTACAAAATCGTTTTTTATTGAACCTCGTACAATAAATAGTTGAGATAAATAAATTTCTTCAAATTGTAATACATTTTAATGAATAATTTACATGTAACTAGTAGTATGTGAAAAATGTACATAAACAGTTTTGAATCTTGTGTAATGAGCTTGAAAATATATTTTTAACGTACGACTAATTGATCCCAGTGTTTCCAAAAAATATTATTTCTTCAATTTACGTTTAAATATAGGTTAATTTTATCAATATAGATATGTAATCGAACTGGAAAGAATAATATTCTTTTTTCTCAAGGTTTACATATATTTACATATTACGATCCTAGTTGCGTATTCTGCAAAATTTATTTTTAGAAAAACAGCTTTGTGAAAGATTTTTCAATATTAAAAAAAAGAAACAATATTCACGTTGTTTTTTCTTTGTAAATTTCTTTGTTGTTAAAGATCTAATATAAAAAATAGAACATATCAAACTAAAAAATGGTACATATTACTAGATTTTTTAGCATTTGTTTTATCTTATTCAAATGTTAATTGATTTTAATTTATTAGGAACAGCGCTGCACATTTTATTTATGTCGTTTACTAATTAAATGTCAGAGGTTAACTAACATACGTTTTTTTAAAAATTTATTTAAAATGTAATAAAAATTTTCTTATAGTTTTTATAGTAAATAGCATTAAATTTTAGGAAAAAAAATCAACGTTATGCTTAGTTGAGATTAAACGTTTCAACAATTGTTTTTTAATCATCGTGTTATAACGATAGTTTTATTGCGTAAATTTATTATAAAAATGTTTAAATATTTGTCAAATCTTACAAATAATGCCATCTCGAAAAGATCTATTTATTTTATGTATAAAAATAGAATATAAATGGTATATATGTACGTTTACATGCAAAAATTTTAATCTCAATATTCATAATTTGAATATGTTAAGATTGCATCATCCAGAAAGTCTTAGAATTAGATGCATAGATTGCATAGATAATCAATTATAATTCGTTAAATGTATTGCGATAAGCATGGACAAATTTTTGTTATTTTTATGAGATGTAATGCCATCAAAAAGAATGAATAAGCGTTTGGTGAATTGATCCGAAATTAGTACATAAGGTTTAATTGTGGACAATTGTCATTACTTTATTTTATACTAATTAAAACATATGAAACGATAATAAAATAAAATAAAATCATTCATAATGTAATCTTCATTAATTATGTCATATATATTAGTTAAATTTATAAATTAATATTATGTTTACTTAATATTCCTAATAAGAAACATCTTAAATTAAAAAAATCTATTTAAAAATAAATATTAGTAAATTTATTGATATTATTATCAATTGATATAGGATTATCAAAAATAAAAATTGTAGCGCTGCAAATTTACATTGTATTTTAATATAGTAACAGTTCTGTAATTTCACGTAATTGCAATTTTGTAATAAATGAACCATTGAACGTTATTGCTAACAGAACAAACAAGAAAGACATTTCCATGTCAGTAAAACAATTATAAATGTATATCTTTCAAACATTTGATAACAAAACATTGGCGACAATTGCAATCAAACGACATCATTGTAAATAATTTAAAGATTATAATATATTCGTATTTTGTACGCATACTGCATATTTTTTGTAAATAAAATAAACAAGAACATGAATTGACTCGTTGCAACAAATATTGGTGTTAAACAAGAAATTGGAATACGAACTAAGTAATTTATTAATAAAACGTAATCAAAATGTTATAAAACGAATTATATAATAAGTTTATGAAACCAAAAATAATTGATATGAAAAATTAAAATAAGAAGTTTGAAAGAGTAATATCCACAGTTTTATCATTATTGTACTATTATTATTTTAATATCACTTATTAAGCACTTTAAGGATGACAGGATTACTCTCCTCACTTATAATCTTCACATAACGAATTACAAATATTCTTTTTGTAATAGTTCACGTTAGTAATGTGATAATTTGTAGCATTATTGTTCTGCGAATCGTCAATTATAAAATCCTTAAAAATGTACAAATTCCGACGATTCTGTGCATCTAAATAATTAATTTTCAAAATTGTAATTGCTTAAGTAATTTTAATTTAATATAACAAGAAAGAAATGGAAGGCAAGAATAATATAATACAAAAAAAAATATTTAGACAATGACAAAAGTTTGATCAGAAAAATTATCTGCTTACTGACTGCAACTTCCTTTGGTGTTCCCACCACATGTACGCTCAATTTCCTGAAACTACTTCCATTTAGTGTGTGCCTTCTGAAAAATTCTCTCAGCTTATTGATATTTATATTCTCTATTGCAAGCGTTTCCTTTTCACATCTGTCAAACATGTATTTCTGCTTCGTGATCTCACTCCAGTCCCTGTTAACTCTGTTTTTCAGAATCTCGGCATCGTCATGTTGCTTTGAAGTTCTCAGTCCTTCTTTGACATCATCTAATTTCTTTTCTGAGAACTGTTCCAACACGATTCGAAACGAATTCAGAAATTCCTCGATCCGTTGATCAACGTATTCGGTTGTGCATTTATCTGCCTGAGTGTAAACAGTAATAGAATATCCTAATATACCGTTGATATCTCTAAAATCGCATGAAACGTAACTAAGATTTTCTTGGGTTTGTAGATAATTCATTAACGATTCTTTCATTATCATCTAAAAGTACAACAGATGAACGTGATATCAAATAAAATCAATTATGGTAATCGGAAATGTTATTCACATTTTATTTACTATTCAAACTAAATATAAATTGAAGATTCCATGTATTTAAATGTATAAAATAATGTTATAAAATACTTACGATCATCAGCTCAATTAAAACCGACAATTCAATCGTAGCAGTACCGACTTGATAATAATTTATTACTATCGAGTTTACATTTTTGTTAATATTTTTTAGCTTGAAATGAGATGTGCATCGAGGTATCTCATTGATTGGTACAGTCAATATCTTAGGAGTCAAATTCAAGGAGTCACAGTTAATTTTTTTGATAAATTCTTGTATAATATTGATCGTAAAGTCTTTCGTTACGTTGCCTTCTACGAGGCATTGGATGTACAGATTTTTGGTGAAGGATGTTATAAAATGTTGGAAACTTATGAAACTACATCCATATAGAGCATTATATTTGTGAACGTGTGAACAGTTACCGTACTTTAGTATCCATAATTCCATATCCCTACGAAAAAATAAGTTATATACAGCTGTATACAGCTACATATGTTATTAATAAAAAATGATAAGAAACGTAATAAATGTAATTTATTTTATAAAATTAATTGATACAATTAATGTTCATCACTAATTGTTCTTTCCTAGTTGTATAAGTATTTTATAATTAATGCAATTATGTTTAGTAATAAACAGTTCATACTCGATGAACTTTTCCGTGTCTATAATTTTGTTGTAGTATGCCTTCAGTTGTTGCTTTTTAATAATGTTAAACAAGTCCATCGAAACAGGGACTAAATTCGCTATATAGTTTGCAATAACCATTAACCAGGACTGCAATAAAAATATTTATGTTTCTTCAAATTATATACTTACATATAAAAAATTTTTCTTAGAATTTTTATACTATTTCGAACATCTTTCAGAAATACGCAAAAATAGTCGGATAGTTCACATCTTCTCGCAGAATTTTTCATACATGTAAATATTTTCAAATATTCTAAAATATTTCATCCCATAATTTAAAAAAACATTTTAAAATTTTTTAGATTTTACAACATTAAATTAGAGAAATTCAACTTACAAAAAATCTTTATATATATTAAAAATCTTACAATAATTAACTTATATGGAAAATTCTGAGAAAAGATATAGATTGTTTGAGATGTGTTCCAAAAATTCGTATAAAAAATGTGAAAAAGTTTCAAAATTATATAAAAATGTTGAAAAATTATATAAAAATTCTGCGAAAAGTTTTCATTAGGGTAACTTTGCTTTAAACATATACTTACTGATATATTTTCATTAAACCCGCTAATTTGTATTATAATACCTATATCTTCTTCATTGACATCGATCTCATAACCAAATCCAGCCATTACAGCCGGATGTAATTCTTCGAGCAATTGA